CTTCAAGGCTGGACTATTGTAATTCTTTACTATCAGGAAGTCCACAAACTGTAGTTAGAAGCCTTCAGCTGATCCAAAATGCTGCAGCCAGAGTTCTGATGAAAAAGAGAGATCATATCTCTCCTATCCTAGCTTGTCGTCACTGGCTTCCTCTTAAATCCAGAACAGAATGTAAAATACTCCTTCTAACATATAATGTTGTATAAAGTACTGAAATCTCGGAGTCAAGTAAAAGTATGAGTATCTCTCCAAAATATAACTTTGGTAAAAGTCCAAGTGACTGACTGAAATGTTACTTGAGTAAAAGTCTTAAAGTATCTGAAATGGCTTGTACTTAAGTATAAGAATTACTGTAAAATTAGATGTACTCAAGTAATGTAGGGGAAAGTATAAGTAAAAAGTAGTGCAGTTTGAATGACATTTTTTTTTACATTTTGGTAAACTTTGAAGGTTAAATTCACTTTAAAAAATATACACAACCAAGTGTAGGATAAATTTAGACTGGCTTTGTCAAACAGGTGTATCCTATTGGTGTTGATGGAAAAGCCAAGGCAGAACCCGACTTTGTAGTCGGTAGGGTCAAAACACTTGCGTTTCTCTTGTTCGTTTTTTTTTTTTTTTTTTTTTTTACTTTGTAACTAAACCAAGCATTGAAAATGTGTTGGAGTAAAAGTATGCAATTAAGTTCGTAAATGTAGTGATGTAAAACTGAAAGTTCTCAAAAAACTGTATACTCTTGGAAAGTATAAAGTACTCCAAAATATACTTAAGTACAGTAGTGAAGTATTTTTACTATACAACACTGTATATAACAGAGCGCTTCATTCTCAATCTGTAGGTTTACTAGTAGTTCCTAGATTTTCTAAAAGTAGATTGGGAGGCAGATCTTTTATTTTATCAGTTTTAGCCCATGAACCAGACACTGTCTACTTTTAAGGGTAGGCTTAAAACTTTTTCTTTGATAAAGCTTTTAGCGATTGGAAATTGATTGAGTACCACTGTTGGATCTGACGCTTTACTTTACAACAAATCCCTGCAAGACTTTCAAAGTAAGACTACCATTTATACTGTAATAAAGCATCTATTCACCTAATAACAAGGAAAACCAGTGATTTAACATTTGCAAATGGATGCTATATCACTGCTGGACATTACCCTTCCCTTGACACACATCCGTGATAGACTTTCAAAATAAGACTCTACAAAATAAAGCTCAATGTTTAGGAGGTGTGTCAGTCACAGCCCAAGAACAGCTAAAGATATCTGGTACTCGGGGCAGATCTCATCCACTTCTGAGGTCCTGCCACCATGGAGTTTTTTGACCACCTGGTGGTCAATAATGAACAAGTCCAACCCAAAAGATCCAGTCTTCCCTTCCACCAGAAAAGGAGTGTCTGCTGGGTTAAGGCCATTCTCAAAGTATTCATTCCACTGTCTGACAATGTACTCAGTTACTCAGTGTACTCAGAAGCTCCTGCTCCCACTGAATATAGTATTAGCGAAGCATTGCTCCCCCTCCTGGGGCATTGCCAGAATAACTTTGAGGCCCACCAGTAGTCTGACTCCATGGTCTCAAAAAACTCCTCCCAGCTTTTGCCTCTGCAATCACCCTTGTAGTGGCACCCTGGACCCCGCAGTACCTGTTTGCTGCCCGAGGATCCCAATAACACAATCAGACTAAATAGGGCTCATCTTCAGCTTGATGGCATCCCTTATTGCTGGTTTCCACCACTGGGTTTAGGGTTGCCAGCACGACATCCTCAGCAGACCCACAGCTACTGTACAGGTGGCTGTATCGACAATAAAGGCAGGCAACATATTCCTCTCAGACTCTGTGTTGCCTGCTTCCTTCCGAAACGGAGAAAATCTCTACTATAAGTAGGAGTTAAATATATTTG